TTGTGTGTGTTGGCACACACCTTTTCGGGGATTCTCTCCTATATTGTTATTTTCCGAAGGAACACTTGACTTTTCCCTTGCAAACATAAAATAATGCACATAGGGGAATGACTGCTCATTCAATCAAAACTCTCCACGGCAAACAGTCCGTGGCATTTGTAATATTCGTAAAATTCACGGGCATCCGCTGGCATTAGCCATTTTCACATATGCAAGAAAAAAACCCTAAATTGTGTTGTGTTGAAAATATTTACAATTGGAAGATTCGATTCATGTCCTTTGAGTTTGTTCGTTACATTTGTCATGCCTGCTCTAGGACTATCCGCACGGAACACAAAAAAGTAAGAGAGAAAAAAGAGACTTTTTGTTGATTTCGGAAAATTTGTTTATTGAAATGTTGTTTTTGTTCATGAGTTCAGAAGTTTATTGTGCTACGAAAAAAAAAAGTCGGCGTGGATTCTTGCTCATCATTATTATCATCTCCGATCCTTATAATATTTGCGTGCTTTTGGATAGTCCTTAGTTAGTTTTTCCAACGTTTATTGTTTTGCCTTTTTTGCTGTTCCCTTTTCATGCACGTACGACATTTAGTATGAACATTTACTGTATGTGTCACATTCGCTCTTCTTGGAACACTTTGTCGTGTCGCACCGAATTTTATTTGGTTTTATTTTTATTATTTTCGTTGTTTATATTTCACTTGTGTTTGGTCGCTCTCGTTCGTGCGCATGACAAGTGCCATGGAATCAGCAGACACACCAGAATGAAGAAAGAAAATTGACGAAAAATATCAAGAAGTGATACGTATATACTTTATGTGATGATGCCCCGTACGTGGATGCCAAAAAAAAAACAAATAAAAAGATGTTATGAACTGAGGGAGAATTGTCGGCTATAATTCTTTGGCCAAACAAGCAATTCAACTATAACAACAAATCGAGTAAACAAAAATTGTACTTTATTTTTATTTTTTCAAACTGACTTGAGCGATGTCTAGCTCGAGATGAAGACAACGACGACGATGTGATGCGAAAACAAAAGACCAAGTTAACATGAAAGCCATGTCAGGGCATCCGTTTTTACAAATACGAGCAGCAAACATATATTATATATACATGTCGCATCTATATAATAAAACAAAATCTAGATATGTTTCGCATAGCTCACACATTCTGCTCAGATAAATTTTTGCGTTGTGAGGCACATTTCGTTTATTATTTTGGAGGGACTCTGTCATATGAGTTTAGCTGCATTACAAATTACGGTGAGTGTGTGTGTGTGTGCCGTTGCCGTTGTTGAATTGGTACTACGTCGTTGTTAATTTATACAATAAAAATTCAATTCTTGCTAATATTTGTTTTTTTTTTCGTTTTTTTTTTACCGCATCAAATGGCCGAAATATACACGGTAACAGAGTAATAGCTGGTTATGTTATGTCGAAATAAAACAAGCCATTTGAGTAGAAAAAATCGGTTACAAAATTATGCTGAAAACTTTTTTGCAATCATTTTGATGTGATGGCTTCTAAATGTGTCACGCGCGTCGGAATTGCTCTATCAAAGTATGGCATGAGTGCAACCGACGGTAAAGTTTTGATCAGAACGAAAAACTATACTTTGATTTGTCCATTTCTATCAAGCAAAAGATCTTTCATTCACTCAAAGAACAAAAAATTATGTTGGTAACCTTTTGCTAGATGTCGTTGCTTCTTGTTCTAATTTTTGCATATTTATTTGAGAGAATAAGATAACATTAAACTTTCATTGTTCCATGCAGCAGCCATGTTACTCATTGTCAATTTTTAGTCAAAAATTTGCTTGTGATATCGATCAAGTGCCTCTTTTCTTCATTTAATTGAGGAAATTCATTGAGAAATTGATGGTGATTTGAAACTAGAACTGACATTTATGTCAAATTATTTGAATAAATTTGATCAGAAGAGCAAAAGGTAATGTGTTTTCAAACTCGAGACTAACGCATATATCGAATGCCGATAATAAGTAGACTATCACCACAATAATATTCAATCAATATACTTTGATAATTGTCAAAGTTTATAGTTAGAGCGCCATACTATCAACATATGGCAATGGACAATCGCACAATTAAAATAAAAAACATGAAGAAAGGCTTTGAAAAACATTCGTTATTTTTCGTCTCACCAATGGCTGTTCCGATGTGTAGGAAACCGCCAATTGCATTCAACTGGGCATTAAATCCATAAATATTTATATCGCATATAAACATCACTGTTTTTACTTCGAAATGCAATGGGGTGCATAATATTTCCACAATAATACAATGTAAGACATACTTTTTCGTCATTCAATATATAGGTTTTGTCAAGTAGCAAATAATCGTATTCCTATTTATATATCGACGACATATGGAGACCTGACGCACGCCATAGTAAAACACATATGCATTTATTGCGTTATATGGAATCGCCTTTAGATGCACACACGGTTCCTTTTACGATGTTGAAATGTTGATTTTATTTGTTTGTTTGTTTTTTTTTTGTCGTTGCACTCTGATAAAGTTCGTATCATGTTTTTTTTGTCACTTACAGTAGAACCTCCATTATCCGTCCTCCCATTATCCGTCACCTCTGTTAACCGTCACACTTTGCTGAAGAGACATTTTTTCCAGTTATTTCGTCAGTTCATTTCACTTGAAAATACGTACGAATAATGTCGCCGACTAAGATTCGTAATCAAAATGAATTGTGTACCGCTTCGGTCATCGAATTTCGTGATGCGAATTGTTTCTTCTTTTTTTTTCTTTGGTTTATGTATACAAAAACTAAATGCGAGAATTGAAATCGACTAATACAAACTAATAGTATAATGGAAATTTTGATTGGCTTGGCTTATTTTATAAAAACCTCAATTATCCGTCTTTTTCGATTATCCGTCAATGTGCTGGTCCGGTGCCTGACGGATAATCGAGGTTCTACTATATTAATGAAATAAATGAAAGAGGGAAATACAATTTTGAAAAAAAAAATCATTGTTTGTGTGCGTGCACACAACGCTCGTGTAAAATAAAAAAAGTTGCCATGGCTAAGACCTTTGACAAATATTATTATGCCAAATTGCATATCATACACAAGACACAGCCTAATGCAACAATTAACACTAGCACAAGATTCAGAACATATGTGTGCGCATTTTATGACAGTTAATATAACTGTATCGGGGATCATGCGATTGAAGTTTTTTTTCTCGTAGAAATCAAATGGTTAAAGATTGCCGCAACTCGTCACTGGGAATTCTTCACTGTAAAACTCAATACATTCACAATTTATATTCTTAAAATTAATTTTTCTTAATTAATTACCATATTTTTACGCCACTTTGCCGTCCGAAATATTTTAGCAACCACAATCAATCGTCGAGAAATAATTGGAAAATCAATAATGTTAATCAACGCAAATGTCCATGCAGTGACCAAATAAAATTAAGACTTAAATATGTAATTACAGTTGTGCCGAGTAGACCAATGCCATCGCCCGATCTCGCCGCAATTTGGCCGCTTTCGGCAGAATGCCATCTTAGATTTCGCGAATAGTTTTTTGCTCCCAATTGTGCCGCCCTCATCAAAGTAAAGCGCGAAGCAACTGCTTCACTCGCTTCGTAATTGCACGCCATCGTATGGCTTCAAAGTCATTCCCCAAAAATCCACCGCTTCAAGTTTTAGAGTGACCCAAGAATCACCGAAATTCGAGTGTAGTTTTTTCATTGAAGATTGAGATTTAGTTTTTTGGTGGATATGTATTTGGTAATATTCTTTATCCTGCCAAGATCTATAATATCGCCGAAGATAGTATGGTAAAATCCCTAGCCGTTCGAAATTTAGAATTGTTCGTACTTCGGAAGCTCTCCAGGAGCCTCTGCGTATCAGTAACAGTGCCACAGGTATCAATTGTAAAGTTAAATCGACATAATTTCGGTCCAACTAACAAACCCGGGCGAAATTTGGGAAATTTCTTCCGAACCACCCATACGTTTAGTGTTGAGTATTTTTTCATACATACAAACATATTGTGTGAGGCTGTAAAGCAGTAGCAGAAAAACTGTATTAAGCATTTTGTTAAACTAGTCTTATGTATAAATTGCAATTTACATTTTTGATTTGAATCAAACGCGTGTACGCACCATGAAAAAAAAATGTTTAAGAATGAAATCATAAGCAGTGTGTCGTCGTTTAGCTATATTCAACTTTTTTTTTCGGAACATTCTGATTACGGCGATAAAATGAATGGCACTACAGACACCACTTTAGATTTGCATGCATGTACCCACTAACAGCCATGTATTCTTTCCATTCAGTGAATCTCGGTTAGAATGTGGTTATTTTTTTATATACAGAAGACATTGTGCCAATTGTTTCGTATCTAAAGCATTCGTTTCGGGGAATATGGAAAAAGCGAAGTGGAGAAAACAACAATATGTCTCATGCTTCCAATTTGAGCGTTTCAGATAAGAAAATTCAGCAAGTGTTGGGCTGAAAAATGGAAATCCGATTCATTTAAAATGAATAGAAACGAATGATTAATGATGAAAATCAGTGGTATTGTGATGTCTAGACAATATCACAGTCTTTTCCCTTTCTCCCGTTCACCCTCACTCTCGCTATCGCTTCAAATAAGAACAAAATCGCGCGGGTCTTGCAAAAATGCAGTTGAAGATTCGCAAATTGGTTGAACCTCCCTTTGAATTATATAATTGGATTTGAAACATAATGGAAAGACGGAAATCTATTTCATAGGTTTGCACGTAGTTAATTATATTATGAAAATTCACATTCTATTAAAATTGTGCTTTGATTGTACATGTTCATGAGCACATGCGTTCGACATCATACCGATGATAATATTTCCGATTGAGAACAAAACAGCTCAATCGTCGGATTTGTTATCACATTTTTTTTTGTATTCGTTTTCGTTTCGCTTGATATTGCTCACTTTAAAACGCAGTTTCAATTTGTTCTATTGAGCCGTCACTGTTCAAGTCGCTATAGCCGAATATATTTTCACACTGATTACGTATGTGTATTTGGAAAGTAAAAACAGTTAAACTGAAGCGTTCGGACGTTTAAAAATAAATTTTCGTAGACAAATATCAGTACATTCGTACTTGAACCCAATTCGTTGTCGAGAGAAAAGCGAAAAAAAGTCGTTTTCGTTTTGCGATTTTTCTTCGTCTACTGCAGTACTGCAGTATACATAGAACTTTTCGCTAATTAGCTATTTGTTGATTTGTTGTTCCAACTTCTGACAATTGCTTGGTGTATAAGATACGATGCACGCCCAATTAAAGTAAGTTGATAAATAATAATTATTCAGGTGACGTGAATTAAATGGATCATATTGTTTTTTAGATTGTGTGCGTTTATTCTTGTCACGACGTTAGTTGGCTTAAGCAATGGTATTGAGGTTAAATGTGTTGAAAACCTGAATAAACGCATTTCGATTTTCAAGGCTGAAGAAAACCACACAAATCCCTATCAAGATGTTGTTTTCGATATTCCTGCCAGTCAATGTTACATCGAACAACCGATTGCGTTGGATGAAAATGAAACTCTCCAAGTGACTTCGTCCAACACTGAGCAGATAACATCCATCACATTTGCCACACCATCAAACTTGCCCGAGTTTCCATTGGTGATATTCACGATTTTTCCGAATTTAAATAACGTCCATCTGATATGCACTGGCATTGAAGTGATTGAAGAAGATGATTTCGCAAATGCCACCATGCTCACGCGACTACGCTTAGAACTGAACAATATCAAAAGAATATCGAAGACAGCATTTGCCAAAGCATCGAAACTTAATTCTCTTGAACTGCCAGCCAATGGCGTTCAACAGATTGACGATTATGCATTTGCCAATTTACAAAACCTCACTCGATTGGATTTGCAACAGAATAATTTGACAGTGCTACGTGAACACATATTTTCGGGTGCAATCAATTTAATTGAAATATTTCTGAATGACAATCAGATTCAGATTATCGAAGATGGAGCATTCTACTTTGAAAAACTGTCCAGAATCTATTTGCAAGACAACCAATTGAAATCATTATCACCAGATCTATTAACGGGAACGCCACTTTTGTATGGAATCGACTTAAGCCGTAATCAATTGGCATCAGTTCAAGGGGTTTTCGATAAATGCCCCAATTTAACGATAATCGGTTTGAATCACAACCAAATTGAATCTCTTAATTTAATCGAATTGGCAAACATGCCGTCGCTCATGGTGCTTTCACTGGAGAGCAACAAACTCACATTCAATGCGAACAACAGCGAAACGGAACGAAGAAGCTTAGTGCCGTCTAAAACACATTTGGAATATTTAAATTTGGACTCGAATAATCTCACGTCGCCGGCAATTTTGATGGAATTGAGTGTTTTTCATCGATTGAAGTTCCTCGATCTGGACGACAACAAATTTACAAAGATTGATGATTTTAGGGAAATTCGCACACTCTTCCCGCATTTCATTCAAATCAACATGAACAATAATCCATTCAACTGTGCGTGGTTAGAAGATGCTTTTCCATTCATCGAACTCGAAGGTATCATTTTTAAGACCGTTGAAATCGAAAGCGATGAAGTGAACAACAGCGAGGAAAACAAACGATTTTCGGCTGGTAATCAGAAAAAAGTGAACGGTACATTGTGCAACATTGAAGAAATACCCGTTTCAAGCATAACCAATGATGAGTCATCCGGTGAAACTGTTATTTAATACTAAATGAATAAAATCGTTGATTTCATGATTTTTTTTTTAATGCAAAAATGAAGTGTTTTATGTATTGACCATGGTTATTTAAAGAATTCAGTATCATTACTTGAGCCTTCGAAAAAAAACTCCCGCAACTAGGCAAAACCATCGGCCTACATGCAGAAATGATTTGGGACTTTTTCGATGGAGTGCACAATGCACATCCCATCATAAATAATAATAAGTATGTCAAGGGCAGAACAAAATTATCGTTCACGAATTATAGCCACAAATTTGTTCAAAAATAAATCTGTAACTGGCCATAGTCAACATCGGTTTAAATAGATTTTTACAACTTTGATCCTTGTATTATCATTTGCAAAGAAAGATTTAGTGGAGCCTCTATGTAAGTACAAAGCACCTCTGCGCTGAATTAAACAATTCAAATCACTCAATAAATAATTTAGTTTGAAGAGTTTTAAAAATCATAGGGAAAAATAAGCTAGCGCATCGTTTCCGGTCGTCTAGCTGACGCTGTACAGTGTACACCCAGCATTTCATTTTTGGATTTTTATTTTTATTTTTTAACGCATCCCATTTTTCGCAGAATTCACCGTGTAACAATTTGTTTTTGAAATTGATCGTCAATATTTGAATGAATGCAATGAAGTGCGCTGTCAAAGAACAGACATCTTGGCTCATCACACTGATGAACAGAAAAAAGCTATACTAGCTTTGCTCTAAGGCATCACCACAGGATTGCCTTTCAAAAAGGTTGTTTTGGCTTGAATATGCTTTACTTTATTTTTGGCTGTTGTTTCTAATAAGCTGAAAGATGAAAAGGAAAAGGAAAAGGAAAAAAAAACTCTGGAAAATTTCATTTTGTTTCAATATACGTTGTGTACGAGTTGTATGCTTTATTTTTTTTTCTATTCAATCAACGATGAAGCGCAGATGAAAATTGATGCGAAATAAATGGAAAAGTATCCAAAGTATGTGTAGAACTCGTTGAAGGAAGCAAAAATAGAAATTTCACGTGGCTGTATGAAAGCAAACATTTCAACAAGATGTGACGGTATTCAGAAAAAATGGGATAAACATGTAGAATTACCAAGAACTAGGTGCGCCTGCAGTCAACAATTTTCGTTAAAATGTCGAAAGGCAAACGCGCTGTCATATACATACGGTAATTTTCCAATCAGAAAAACATATATTCCTTCCTCTGTGATGTTTGCATAACGCACCTATTGTATACAAATCTATGCAAACGGTTCTCTCACACATTTTATTTACAGTTTTTCCTCATTTTCAAAGCTGTCGACTGAAATATGTAGTTTGGCTTTTCTTTCAACACACGAAATCTGCCAATCAAAGCAAAGGTTGCTTGAAGAAAAAAAACTATTTGTATTTCTTTGCTCATTAGTATGCCTCTACTTTTACACTACAATTGAATTTAATGCAAATTTAAGAATTCTCTGAAGAAGTAGATATGTCATCAATACTTCTTTCTTATTATCTTCTTGGATTTGGATCTAAGTGATTTTGGATGAATCGGACATTGCAGGACATTTAAACCGATTTTTCAGGAAAGCACAAGTCATTGTTGGCCCGAAGCATCAAAATCGGTTGGCAAATGGCTGTTTGAAGATTTTGACCATTTATCAATTTTCAGTAAAACAGTGACAATATACAGGTATCTTTATTTATTTGATAAAACTCGGTTTTTGATTTAAAACAGCTGCTGTTTTTTTTTATTCTCAAAACAAGAACACTTGGAATGGGCGTTTATGTCAATAATGAGCCAATTTAAAAATAGAAAAATAAGTCCAGTAAAAGCAAAAAAATAAATACAAATTAGTTCTTTTTTTGAAATTCGATTTGACCCATGTGAAACTCACAATAATTTTTTTTTTTTGAATTTGTTCTTCGTACAAATTCTAATGAATTCATATCACCGATTTTGTGGTATATTGATTCAGTGATTTGGTCTGTGGTAATAGGTTGCATAGTGCATACAGCAAAGTGCGACAGTTAATGAGACATCACCATGTACATGTGTGCATTTGTGCGTGTGATTGCGCATCATTAAATTGGATAAATGCCAAAGCGAAACCCACAATAGATACGAATATCGTGCCATTGTGGTTAATTTAATTTGCAATTATGCAACTTTTCACGAGGCATCGGAATTTTAATTAGTTTTAATGGTTGAAATTACATTCTTAATAATTTATCCAATAAATCGGTGCACACATTAAAATGTTGTGATTAGGCTTTGGAATATTGAATACTTTTAACAGCTTCAATTGACAAAGTTATTTATCGATAGGACAATGGACTATGGTTTCTAAATGTTTTTTTTCCATTGTGAAATGTGTCTCCCAATCGAATTTATCCGAGTTCTCTGATTTGAAAACAATTGAATTGAAAAAATAAAGAAATAATTGTACAATTTTCAAATGAAATCAATAACCATCGATTCGGATAAATAATTAGGATCCGTTGAAAATTGCACTGATTCATATTTCGATTTCGTTAAATTGTAATAAAAAGTAGAAGATATTGTGAAACGTCAAATTACAACGAATGTTTGAATTTTCCCTACAATTGTTCCCATTGACGTTTCACAATATGACATAAATCTAATCCCACTTTCTTTTGTGTCGTGACTAAATGTATTTGCCTAACTCGATTATATTCTAAAGGTCACCAGAAAATGTGGAATACATTGATCGCTACACAAAATTCACGCACAGAAAGAAGTGGGCCACTTTTGGCATTGATACTTTGTTATACAAGGAAATATTTATTGATTTTTTCATCATCTTACAACGAAGCCTGTCAAATGGCGAAAAGATCAAATGTTTACAAGCCACCATTTGTAAAAAGACTCAATTGGCAAGTGATAGTATTAAAAACATATTCATTAGTGTCAATTATTTGAGTGCGTATTCTGTATTCAATCCATTTCATTTTTCGTGCTCTTCATACTGTAACCCTCCAGGATACTCGTATGCTAATGTAAAATGAAAAAGATTCAATCAATAATTTACATATTTTAATCGGAAAACTCATTAATATAAAGTACCTCTTAACGCACAATTATTTACCATCCCAAACGCTTCCTACTTAATGGATATGTTGGTCGTCGGCGCCTTTTATCTTGTTGCAATATGCCCTGCAATCGCATGGATTGCATCCAATCATGCATAATTCACAGTATTTTTCCACTTTTCATCTCTATCCATTTATCGTCCCTCACATATATTGAATGATGAAAAAAATACCCGTTCTTTTTTATTTCATTTCTGCGCATGGATATGAGTGTGATGACGACAATCATTTGATGTGCAATCTAGCAAAAGAGTATTTAATTTTCCTGTTTTTTCACCTCTGAGGAGGCTGATATATCATTCCATGGTCTGATATGAATTTTAGAGATTTTACATTTCCTTTCCTTTTCCATTAAAGTATTTTTTGTCTGTGTGCTCATATCACCATGTTGTATCCCTCCTATCATTTAATTTGTCCTCATATTTCCGACATTTTCGCCGCATAATAATTTGCACAGTTTAAAATTACAAAAAAATGTTGTGATGCAATTTTACAGAGGAATCTCCATTCCTATTCGTTCAATAGGAGAATTCATGTGAATAAACTTTGGATTTTTCAATTTTTTTGAATGTAACTTACTTAAATAAATAAACAGAGACAAAAATTGCCTTAATAGTAAATTTTCATTTCCAACCACAATATTGAAAAGAACATTATTCGCATGCTGTGGGTTTATCACATTGGGGATTGAAATTGGCGTCATCACAAGCGTTTGGAATCTCATAATGCATTGAAATCAAACCATACATGAGAACGGTGAAATGATGAGCGCGGATAAACGATATCATGAGTGAGACATTCCACAAGGTCTGAATCGATGTACGAGAATAGGTTACACGCCATAAACCGCATTATTTGACTGTATACAGTATTTGACCCAAGTTGATTTATTTCAGTGAAAGGCACTCTTACAGTTGTTTTGGCATTCATAAAGGAGCAGAGAATGCATATCCATTAAAAACATGAGTTCAATTTATATGCAAATATATCTTAATATCAGCTTTTTCGTAACTGCGGTGCATTGGACGCTTGCGCATAACTTCAATTCATTTATGTCCGTACCCGCTTCGGTGTTCTATGTTTCAGTCTATTTTTGCATGGAATGATTTGGTGGGCACTTCATTGAAATATAAAAATGTTTTGTTATATTATAATATATGAGATTATACGTTATTTGTTTTCAGATATATTTCTAAAGTTGCCAATTAAAACTTTTGTGATATGTGCTACATCACTGATTTAACATCAGAGAAAAAGTGGTTGCAATGATACACAATCGTTATGTCATACTATATGATAGGTTCTGTGCTGTAGCGTTATCAAAATTTTAGAAAGTAAAATTGGCTAGTTTTCCAGCTGAGATTATACTAACAACTTTTTATGAATTCCATACAATTTTTGGTTAGATATTCTTTGGCTCCACCAAATTTATTTGAATTATTGGCTACGTTATTAAAATACCAGTCAATTTCGTTCTTTACAAAAAATCAAAACTTTATTTTTTCTGCGTTTTTTTCTGGATCTATCACCGCCGATAGCGTTTCGATGTTTCCAGAATAGCTGTAGTTCTCGACGTGCTCTACAATACAACATTCGATGCAGAGAATGGGGTGTATGTCAACAAGCACGCACTAGCGCCGTATTTGTCACTAGTTTATCATTATGTGGCAAGCAGCAGAACTATTTAATATTTATCTACGAAAAAAACCGGAGTAATCGCCAAAAATAACCCAGACGATTCCAAACCAAACCGATTGAAAATTGCAATCGATCTCTCCGATTTCGCTCATAGGTATTTGGTGTATAAACTTAGTATCACCGACGACCAAAAACTGGTGGCTGGTATTTAACAGCAAAATGGTTTGGTAGATGCATTCAGGCCCTTAAATACGAGTTTAAAGTATGAAAATGGATGAATTGTCAAATTATATTGAAGTTTGCTTCGGAATTGGGGACGCTCTAGGCTTAAGCTATTTTCTAAAGGGAATTTAATGAAAAACAATTTAAAATTTGTTTGCTCATGATTTTGATACATCAATCGATTCACACCACTTTTTCTATTTTATTTTACATTTATCTATTGATGTACAATTGCAATTTTTTATATTCTCTAAGTGCAAGCACAGTATACACTGTACACTACGATGTTCGCAGTTTTTTCAAGATAGCTTGTTTTATTCCTAGTGCTCAGTAGAGTACATATTTTGATATAATTTTTTTTTCCTCGCGTCCATAATCTAATAAA